ATTTGTTTCTTACAAACATGCAGCTTTTGCTTCACAAGATGTTAATTGATGGAGTGGAATGGTGTGGATTACTTGTGGATTATTGTGATGTTTTTATCAGCTTTTTGGACTCTTATTCTGACGGCACCCATTCACTGCAGCGGATCCATTGGTGAGCAAGTGATGTAATGCTAAATTTCTCCAAATCTGTTCCGATCAAGAAACAAACTCATCTACATCTTGGATGGCAAGAAGGTGAGTAAATTTTCATTTACGTGATATAGGACACACTCTAGTACCTTACAGTCTCTTCAAACTGGATATCATCCATGGAAGCCGTGACACACGCCATTCCTGCATGTCTTTCAGCTTAAAGGACGAAATGAAGAAAAAAGAGATTTATAACATGAACCGCTAAATGAACCCTCAAAGATGGGTACACACTTCTTGTTCAAATTTGCTTGTAACCGTTATTTATATTTCATGTGTCTAACTGGAGCAGAAACAGGAAGGAGATGGAGCGTCTACTATAAGAGAGGACACGTGTAAATCATTGATGTGTGCCTTCCTCAAGCCCCTTTTCTTCAGTGACAGAGAAATATGGATTCACACAAGATTTGTGGGTAAAAGGAGGATGGATGCTAGTTACCTTCCTCGTTCATAGTCTAAAGGTGACTGCTTCATTCTCAACCTACTCTGATGGGTTGATAACACACTAGGTTGTTTTGGAAAAAGAACATTTTTACTGCTGGTCAGTCGAGGTCTTGCTGTTCTCGCTTTTGCAATTTATTAAAGATCTCTATCTCATTGGCAAGACTTTATCCAAATGGATTTACAGTATAGGATATTTAAGCAATTTAACATTTACTACTCAATAGTTATGTATTTATATCTTTAGTATGTCTACAGGGTGATGATGCATCATATTATTAAGGGAAATAAATGGAAACATTTGCTGATTTAGTTGTTATTGCACAAAAACCATGAAAGGGGACGATCATTCATGTCCCACTAGGGTAAGACGAGTACCTGGGACATATAGACCAGAGAAGTAAACTTATATCATTTTTAATGATTATAATTTGAAAAAGGTGTTATTGTCACTACTGATTCCTGAAGCTGAATTTTGTGACACTCACATTCATTTTACGGTAAAGCCACTTTGAAGCATTTTGAATTGTATAAAGCGCTATACAAATAAACTTGAATTAAAATACTAAATCAAATATTTTATGTAAATTTAAGTGGCTATAAATTCAATTATTTTAGTGTTTAATAATTTAGATAATTTAAATATGTAAAAATGATAACTGAATAATGATATTTTAATGTAATTTTCATATTTAATAATTTAGAATAGAATAAATAAATATTCTAATCATTTAATAAACTATTGTAATATTTAATATTAATAATAACTATATTTGGTGATTTAAAATGATTAAATAATAATCAGAAAAACAACAGATTAAACTCATGTCATAATAGCAATAAACTCTACATTTAGACATAATGATTCCACCAACTGGCCTACAGGTTGTGATGAATCATGAAGATGCTTAAAATGTTAAATATCAAGTGAATTTATAACTGAAATTGTTAAATGAATTAAAACACCATCAACAACATGCCACTGCTGGTTTTCTGTCCTAGGCCTGAAAGGGGCATCGTACCCTAATAATCTCACTTTTTACTTCAAAATAAAAATATTTAGTATACAAATCTAAATGAATTACTGTATCCAAAAATATATTAAATGCCAAAACATTGTATTATTTAACTGAAAACTTTTTTTCCATTTTCAATTTGGAACAAATGACAATGTCACAGATTATAAGTCATGATATAACCATTCAATAAATGTGTGAAGGCAATCAAAAAAGCTGGTTACCAACCCTGAACTCCATCCCACATCTGCATCTACAGCACACTGTCCCACTCACCTGCCAGACAGGCGGTGGTGTCCATCCACTTCAGCAGCTGTCCTGCACCCAGCTCTCCCTAGTGGTTTGCATGGCAGGGCAGGATGGACTGGCACATCTGCACCTCCACCGGGCCCGACGCTTTCTTCCGTCCCTTCTCGCAGGATCCGTCCGTATCTAACGTTCCTCTTGACCAGTTCTGATCCATGAGGCCTCGTTCAAAGATGTGGAGTGTTGAAATAACGGGAGGTCAGCTCGTTTCTCTCTTATCAAGGCCGATGCCAGGTGATCTCAACTCTGGCCAACTTGGACGACCGAGCTGAATACTTCTGCGAGCTGCAGGACACTATGTATTCACACACACACCTGTGCAGCAGTTGCTGTTACGACACATGGATTGTGATGTAATAGCCATGTGTGTTTTATTAACTTGTTTTATGCGAGAGAGTATTAAAGCTGCGGAGTGTCGACGGGTCACGGATGTAATATACTGTAAGATGGCAGAATTGAGGAGCTCTGATGCACCAAAAAATTTCAATTTACATCGGCGATTATCGTACATCAACGAACGACGACGGTGCTACTCATTCTGTGCGAGCGCTTCAGTTCAGTGTTCTGTCAAAAACTGAAGCGAGCGTTTAAATTCGGATTTATTTCGATTGGCCCTCAATATTTTTGATCACCTTTACCTGAAGAGGTACCCTGAAAAACTTGCTTTGAATGTTGTGGTGTGGACTTTCGCTATTTAGAGTTAAGGTCTGATTACACCAACTTTCGATGGCGCGATAAACCGTGCTGTAGTTGTAGGGTGGATTCTTATTGGCTGTCAGTGTTTTTATCGTTCATCAGAAAAACATTTAACGTTATGAAAAGGCTTGTTCACACCAAGGACAATAAATATAAAGATTGAATAATCATTCTAATTATATGAGAAAGTCTACAGGAAAGTAAAACTACACAGAGGAATGGTACCGCAATACCGCGGTATTTTTCACAATTTTTTTTTTCCAGCTAATGAACGATACAAACATTGACAGCCAATCAGAATCCAACCCACTTTAGAAGAGCTGGAGCATTTGATAATATTAAGACTTCACTATTCTCACAGAATAAAAACAATTACTAAAACATTATCTTTCTTGGTAAGAATGGGCTACAGAGCGATTTTTAAAACCTTAAAGTTATTGGAGTGAACAGGCTTGAACTGATCTAAAATTGTAGGCTTGACCAGAAACCAATATGCAATAATAAATAATGCAATTAAATTTTACCGAACAGATAAAATCAAATCAACAAAATAGTATCAGTGACTTGTATTTAAGACAATTAACTAATAATCTGGCTAACCTTGCTAAACCTTAACCATTTGCACATAAATATTATAAAATGTTAATCTATATATTATAAAAAGCTACAATTTGTACGTTTTCTCTTATGTAAACAGAAAAAAATGTCAATGAACACTAGTGCATACAAAATCACACATAAAAAAACAAGCGAAATGATTTGTCAGTCTGTTAAACAGCAATGAGAAGCTTTATATCAGTATAGGATATCCAAAACTTCTCTGTGTATTTACAAAAGTCAACACAAGGTAGAAAATAAACACTTCACAAAATCAAAAATCAAACATCAAATAAGTCAAATGATAATGTTGTACACTCATGATGGGGTCTCTCTCATCGTCAGGAAAAAATCTGGGGCAAAAAGGGCAAATGTTATTACAAATAAACACGAAAACACCTCAGTTATTGTACAGTATTGTTTTAAATAATTCACAGACACACAGATGAATCAGATCCCCAAGCTATAAAAAAAATTCACATATATATATATTTTAGAAATTCCGCAATAATAATAATATTAATAATAATAATAATAATTACACTTGAAAAAAAAAAATCAAAGCAAATCACAGTTTCTCCGGGTGACACAACAACGGCTGTATAAATAAGTTGATTATTAGAATGACAGATGTACGGAATTATAATTCCCATCCATGTGCCCTTCCTCTGAATGGACCAGTTTCCTTTTTCAAAAAATCGTCCTTACTTCCTGTATTCACATGCAAAGATTTTCACAAAGAAAACGTCGTAATATAAGAGCAGTAAACGTTGTATCTGTGTACGTCACATGATTAGGAGTATTTTCAAAACATGACAGAAATATTCTTCGGTAACTGAAGCTAGTGCGACGATCTCAAGTTCAGTTTCGGAGGACGTTCCTCTCGCGTCTCCCAGTTAAGATTTGTTTTAAGTGTACGTATGGAATGGCTGTTCTTCGTAGGCATCGTCCTGAAAAATAAATCTCCTGTATATACAAACAAAACCTCCAGGGTGTTGATCAGATTGGACTGCATTTGAGGAGCACAGATGTGAGAAGGCCGAATGCAGTAGGAAATGATCAATTACAGGCGTCAGTTGGAATTACGGACACATTTCCGTTAACGACAACTCAACCTGTTTCAATAAAATACGAATCAAACTCTCTCATCGATGACACAAAGACGATTATGAATCAATTACAGTGCGTCCTCGCTGGGAAATAGATTTTTAGCATTGCGATTCTGCCATTTTACGAACTCGACCCCCACCGCATCTCAATAAGTGTTTCCTGCGATAAATCCGTTTACATAGATCTGTCAATTTACATCTTATTTCAAGAAAATATGATTTTGTTTTCGTTAAAAACAGTTAAGAGTCCATCGTCTCTCTTTCTAGGATCAATATATGTCCTTTCATACACACATGCACATGTAACTTTGAATGTACACCCACATATATACACGAAGATATACGTAACTATAGACAGGCTGTTGATTCGTCATTCTCAGCCCAATGTGGTTCAGCTTTGTCTCTCGATGTGACGCGGCCGAGGAGGTGAAAGAATGACATTTGAAGAAAAAAGGAAACGAAGGAAGGAGAGAGAAAGGAGAGGCTTGGACCCATATTCTTCAGAGAGCAGAAGAGGGCTGGCTACAGCACGCTTGCACAAGTTCCATGTCATGTGGTGGAATCCACCAGGATTTCCAAATGAGGTCTTCACACACTCATGGTCATGTTTGGAGAATACTGCAAGGACATTAGAGTTAGAGAAGCGTTTGAGTGGGTTTTTAAGAACTCTAAAGGAATTGTTTACACTAAAATGAAAATCTGCTGAAATTGGGCTCAAACTCATTAACATCTTGGATGACCTGAGAGTGTTTCTTCATCAGGTCTGGAGAAAATTAGCATTCCATCACTTGCTCACCAATGGATCCTCTGCAGTGAATGGGTGCCGTCAGAATGAGAGTGCAGACCGCTGATAAAATCATCACAATAATCCACAAGTAATCTCCAGTCCGTCAATTAATATCTTGAGAAGTGAAAAGTTGCATGTTTGTAATAAACCGATCCATCAAGGCATTTCAACGTCAAACAACTGCTTCTGGCCAAAATACAAGTCTATAATCCATAATAACACTTAATTCTGTGAAAAGGTCCATCTGCTGTCGTCCTCTCACATCAAAATCCACCAAGATATCTGTTTAGAACTGTTTTCATTAGTAAATGGTGCTTGATCTGTGCATATTTCTTTTCTGATTCCGAAGAGATTACTTTGATTACTGTAGAACGTAATATTATGGATAGAGGACTCTATCCATAATGGTTTTAAGTTAAAAATGCCTTAATGATGGATTTGTTTTGTACAAACATGCAGCGTTTTGCTTCACAAGACATTAATTGATGGACTGAAGTCATATGGATTACTGTGATGTTTTTATCAGCTGTTTGGACTCTCATTCTGACGGCACCCATTCGCTGCAGAGGATCTATTGGTGAGCAAGTGATGGAACGCTACATTTCTTCAAATCTGTTCCGATCAAGAAACAAACTCTTCCACATCTTGGATGACCTGAGTTTGAGTAAACCTTTAGCACAAATGCACTAGCACACAGGAAATGACATACACTCTCATTCTGGAAAGGGTTGAGGAAATTTCCGCCCATTTCTCCGTCATCTCTAGGAGTTCCAGGCTGGTTGCTCATGCTTAGGTTACCAGGAGAGTTCTGTACAGATAGATAGTGTGATTGTTCAGTCCAATAAGGTTTGTGTATGAAGATTAGGGCTGTCAATTTAACACATTTTAATAATAATAATTATAATAAAAGCTGAACTTTTAACAAGACAAGAAACAGCAGCCAAAAAATGCCCATCTATCATGTAATGAATTTGATTCAAATATTAATAAATTGACAGTCCTAATTAAAATATGAAACAACAACTCTTACCTTGGGCATACTGTCCATGTCAGCTGACCCTAAAGAAATCATATAGATTTCGGATTTTTAAATTATACTGTAGATGTATAGTTGCAAAGGCAGTACTTTTAAAATGCACAATTAATCTTCAATGACCACAAGGTGGCATAATCATGCAAGACAAAAAATGACAACAAATCAGGAAATCAAGCATGAAAGCTGCGATTTCACATTGAATTATGACATGCTTTGATACTCTCCAAGCAAAGTAAGTGGACAGCACTCAAAGATGTCCAAGAGTACGTTCTAAAGTGGTTGTTTGTATTAGAGAAGCTCTTACCTAATGATCCATTCATGTGATGAGGCTCCATTCCTGCCATGCCGCCCATCGGACCATCTCCACCCGGACCAATAGGGAACTGTCAAACACACACACAAGCTCATTTAACGTTATTATAAAAACTACAGAGAAAGTTTTGTCAGTAAGTACAGAATGAACAAATGCAGCTCAATATGACCTGAGTTGCATGTGTGTAAATATTTTAAACTCATCAGGCTCTCTTACATTTTGCCTGTTTCCTCCGGGCGGCACTGTGTTGATCATGGTGTACATATTTTCTCCAGAGTTTGTCGAGTCTGTAGAGGAAGAGCCAAACATGCAAGTGCATCAACAACGTTTCAGCCAACGCTCAACTGATATGGCTGGAAATTGTATTTGGACACTTTTGGTCACTAAAGACACAGTTAAGTATGTAAGTAAATAAATATTTATAAGTTTTAAAAACTAAAAATGATTTAAATAAATAAAAATATATACATATATAAATAAATCAAACACTCAAAAATATTGTAAAATATAAATACAAAAAAAAGTTATTGTTATAAAAAATATATAACATTTAGATAAATAAATACAATTTCAGGCTTTCTACTTAAAATGTAAAAATGTTTCTTGAGCAGCAAATCAGCATATTAGAATGATTTCTGAAGGTTAGTGTGACTGAAGACTGGAGTAATGATGCTGAAAATTCAGCATTGCATCACAGAAATAAATTACATTTCACAATATATTACAATAAACAACAGCTATTTTAAACTGCAATAATATTTCACAATTTTACTGTTTTTACTGTATTTTTGCTTAAATAAATGCAGCCTTGGTGAGCAGGAGAGACTTCTTTTAATAACAAAAAAAACTTTTGACCAAACAGTATTTAAATATTTTCTAGTAATGACTAGTAACAACATTTATTGGCTTCCACGACTGAGGACACAGAACTATCTGCGATCTGATGCATGTCTAACAGCTGGACGTGAGCATTCATGGCTGTAAATGGAGAGGGTCACGGCACTTACCACATAACCCCCTGGAGATGCTGAGGAGTACGGGATCTTAAATGCCACGTGGATCCGATCAGACAGAAAAAACAGAGAGAATGTCAACAAATCCGATGCTCTTCAAGTGCAAACATTTACCTACAGCTGTAGTGTCTGACATTTCACAACGACTGATTGGAGAGATGACTCACCGAGTTGGAATTTGGTGGATTTGGCCACGGTCTTCCTCCGGGACCCCTGTAATAGGGAGAGACGTGTTGTACTCATTGAATATTGTATGGCTAAGTAGGAAATAATCTTTGTTATTAGGCAAGTACTTGTTAGTGTAATAGGAAGTACGTACATATTCATCCCAGGCATCCCAGGACCCCCAAGAGCATTGAGTGGTGGTCTCATGCCTCCTCCATATGCCTGGAAAGATAGAAAGAAATGTAGTGAAGTGTCTTTGCATATAGTTTAGATGAGAGATCTAGGGCTGCCCCCTAATAGTCGACTAATCTTTAGTCGACCAGAAGAGACTTGGTCGACCAAAATTGTATTAGTCGCAGGAAAAAAAAATCCCCAGGGGAAGTCATGCAGTTTGTGACTAACAGATCGTTAACGGCTGGTCTATGGTAATACAGTTCATCGGGCAGGACATCCAAACGCTCGTCATCGGCTTATCATCTGAAATATGTAAGTATTAGCAACTTTACATGGCCGCTCAATCTAATGTTAAGCTAGAGAAATGTGCGTTAGTGTCTGTGCGGAGTGTAGAAGCTCGCTCACTGCAGGACAGATGGAGGCGCCGGTGAGCTCACTCCTAAAATACTCCGTCATTTTTGGTAATTCAGATAAGAGTAATACATCTTTCAAATCTGTAAAGACTACGTTTGTTTGTGTGCACTCACAATAACAACAAAACGTGCTTTTGTAAAATAATGAAAGCAAACATGATGCGCTTTCTGCCGTCTCGGTCTCTGTGAACTTGAGCGCGAAACTCTGTGTATATCTTTGCCTTACAGACATTAAAAATATATCTATAGAAAGTGAAACTAATTCTCAGATTATGTAATCCGTATGAAACATGCATACAAGCGCAGCAGTACTGCAGAGATGATGAGTCAGTGTCGCCGAATTCATCTCTTAAACCAAAACAAAGAAAGCACTTGTTTATCAGTGAATTATTAAAATGTTAATGCAG